TAAACGAATTAATGACTTTGCAAGAGAGAAAGGAATCAGAATAATGCCATGCCCACCCTATGTACACGAGTTGAACGGGGTAGCAGAACGATTCAACAGAACTATTATGGATTCAGCGAGGTGTTTGGCAAAAGAAGCAAAGGTAAACGTTAAATATTGGCCAGAGTTTGTTAAAGCTGCGACATACTTAAAGAACAGAAAACTCGCGAGCACAGTAGAACTTAAGACTCCATATGAGATATTCTTTAATGAAAAACCAAATGTAAAATACCTAAAACTATATGGGAGTAGACTATTTGTAAGAACGCCAGAATCGCTGAGAATATCTAAATGGGACGATAAAGCAAAATTAGGCATACTACTAGGCTATTCTGAAGTCGGTTATAGGGTCCTGATAAACAATAGGATAATTGAAGTGAGACACGTGGACATTATAGACAACGATGTTAAATATATAGGGTTTAGAGATGAAAACTGTGAGACAAATCAGAATGTACCTAAAGAGAATATGAATGACTCGATAATTAATGATGACACAAAAACTGAATCAGAGTACGAATCCGTTGACTCATATGACGAGCAAATAAGCCAGGAAGTTGAAGGGCCTTTGAGAAGATCAAATCGAGAGAGAAAGCAAAATAGACAATATATGGATGATTTTGTAGCTTATGTCGTATATGTCAATTGCTGCCATGTAAATACCCCCAATACGTTTGAAGAGGCGGTGAATAGTAATGAGTCTATTAAATGGCAAAAAGCAATGAACAAGGAAATTGAATGTATTACGAAAAATAAGACTTGGACACTAATAAACAAACCCAAAGATAAGAAATCAATTGACGTGAAATGGATCTATAAAAGAAAATCAAATGATATGTATAAAGCTAGATTAGTAGTCAGGGGATTTCAACAGACTGATCAAATTGATAACACGTACTCACCTGTGGCAAAAATGGAAACCTTAAAAATTTTACTTTCATACTGTTGTCAAAATAAATTACAAATTGAGCAAATGGATGTAGAAACGGCGTTTTTGAATGGGGACATAATATCAGAGGTATACGTAAATCAGCCACAAGGTTATGAAGACGGGACAAATAGACTTTATAAGTTATATAAGTCATTGTACGGGTTGAGAGAGAGTCCCAGGTCGTGGTACGAGTGCTTTAATAAGTTTATGATTGAGAACAAGTTTACTAGAAGTAAACATGATTATTGTTTGTATTCAATAGACGAAGACGAAGATCCTGTATATATTATCCTTTTTGTTGATGATTTATTGATCTGTTCTAAAACAGGCACTACAGGCACTAGGCCAGACATAGCGTTTAGTGTAAACTACTTGAGCAGGTTCCAGAACTGCTATGATGAAACTCATTTCAAATACGCTATAAGAGTCTTGAAATATCTCTATTTGACAAAAAATTTAAAATTGACATATACTAAATCACAAGAAACAGAAATAATTGATTGTTTGGTAGATTCGGATTGGGCAGGTGACATCGTAGATCGAAAGTCGACCACTGGATATATAATAAGATTATACGAGAATGTTATCTATTGGAAATCAAGAAAACAAAAGTCAGTGACCAAGTCCTCTACAGCTGCAGAATACGTTGCACTGTCAGAAGCATTAACTGAAATTGAATTTATCAAAGGATTAGTTGAAGAAGTATTCAAAATTAAACTTGACAAACCGATAAAAATGTATGAAGACAATTCAGGAGCAGTTGCGATTTCAAAATGTGGAAATTTATCCAAAAAATCCAAATACATTGAAGTACAATATCACAATGTTTATGAAAACTATGAAAAGGGAATAATTGATGTCATCAAAATCAATACCGAAGAAAACACTGCAGATATATTAACCAAATCATTGAGTAAGGACAAATTCATTAAATTACGAAAACTACTGAACTTGAAATAATTAATAATAATAAACATTGAAGAAAATACAAATTTAAAGAGGCGTGTTGGGATATGTATATTTGTATTTGTCATAGTGTAGGTGCTGCCGCAGTGTGTGTTATGTGTAACCATGCTGAAGCAGACGAGCTACGTGGCAGTCAGTCAGTAGTAACGAAAGCCTCAAAACCACTCAAAGCGAGTAGAATGTAAAGCTTAATAAACCTTATATTTACAAATTGTCCAAATCTATCTCTCTAATTCATAAATCCAAACATCCCCCTACCCCCTGTTAGCTGTAACTAGCTACGATGCCGTCATTCGGTGATGCCGTAGCATGTGCATTCGCCTCCCATGGTCCTCCTACGGATTTTCGGGGAAAATGTGCACTGGGAGTGTGCACTTGGGGTCAGAGGGTATTCTTACCATTTTTCCTCCAATCCAGGTTCCACGGGGAGTCCTCTCGGCATCTTTCCAGCGTTCGACCGAGATTCTCTTTTGACGACGGGCGACTGAGGCGCCGTGTAACCAGTCGCTGGAGAGTTACTTCTACAGTCGGTGGGAACTCGCGCGCGGGGACGTTAATTCAAATTTAAAGTCCGAATATGGAGTCTTAAGATAATTTATAATTTTATGTGGCTGGCACTTCATTTCCTTTGACTGAAAATTGTTTGAAACTGAACTTTAACCAGAATTTACTAAACAAAACGAACGAAACTCGGATTGAGGGGAAAATATAGGCGGTTGTTCGCCTTTTATCAACGCGAATGCACTTTTCACTGAGTGAGTGCATATTTCGTAGCTGTCACTCTCCCGGGAGTTATTGGGGAATCACCTCTAACAAAACCGTAAATCTAAAATGGGCCATGGCAATCCATGCAGGCGAGAGGCCTAAATTCACCCACAGGGCCTTCCAACCGTACTAGTGAGCCCAATAACCCCACGAAATGCGTAAGCTAGGGAGCGTGAGCATTTCAGCTCAACCTCGATGATCAGCAACTAACACTCAACGGAAATACGATATCTCACCGGGAGGCTCAGTCTATCGGCCATGATCCACGGTAACCGTGGACTCTAACCGTAATCCCTCAATCCGAAACTAAACTGGAAATTACCTCGAAACATCTAGAATTTAACTATTTGTTTTTAATTCAACTGAATATTTTATTTTTACTCGTTTTTATCGTGGATCGACACGTGAATTTACTGGTTTTAAAGAATCGAACGTTATTCTCCCGCGGATGTTGATGTCCGGATGTTTTGATGATGGATATCCAAGGCTCGAGCTAAAGATTAGGAATGTTGCATCTCCCTTCGACAGGGGTGCTAACCTTCAGGGGAGGGAACATGACGCGATTCTGTCTCTCTTAAAATGTATTTACTCACCCTCGTTACTCTCTCTCCTTACAATTTACTTGGTCGGAAGTTCGCAGTTTTCCGATCTTACGGTGAACTCTCGTACAGGTGGCGGAATTCTCGAAAATTCCGTCACAAGCAAAATTGGATCGATTGCATGATCCCAACTATCGTTTACTTTTCTCCACATAAGAGAAAAAAAAATATTCTAAGAGAATTAGAATTTAGAGAGAAAAAATTTCCGCTTCACCCAGCCGGGAATCGAACCCGGGTCTCCCAGATACGCGTCGGGCACTCTTACCGACTAAGCTACCGGAAACCACAGAAATTCACTATCAAATTCACCTCAAACACCGCCTAACCTCCTTTAGGCATTAAAGAATTCTAAGAGAATTAGAATTCTCTAGACTTTTCTCCACATTTACATATGGTTTTGGAAATGGTATGAAAACGATTCTGTCCTCTGGGTAACGAGTATCAGAATTACATGAGGCATACGCACAATGCTTAGTTGGCCTTTTTGGGAGACGAACTTTGAGTATTTTCTCTATTTATCACTTATAAAACCTTGATTACTGCGTTTTCATTCGTGTTTTGTTGTGGTTTGCCCATTTAACATCCTTATTGTGAATCCTCTGAGATTCATACTCTTCTCGGGTGATGGCTCAGTATATTGCACCTACCAAGGCTGTTGCCCGCATGTGGCGAATTTTTCATATTCGTTTGAGATCAAGGCTAATTTCCGAAAACTAGGTATTTTTTTATACAGACCTCGAATATTCTGTTGCATCCATCCACTTATAATTTCATAATGAAATCGAATTCCACAAAATGTAATAAATACTCCGCTCTATTCAATCAAATGTCTTAACAGTAAACGAATTTCTTCTTGTACCATATTCGAAGTTTAATTCAATTTCTAATAATTTTGTTATGAATGAAAATGACGAAAAAAATAATTGAAATTGTCTTCTATAGTAAAAACTCTTCGAGTTGGCTCAATAACTTGCAGAATATGTTATAGAAGGATAAGAGAGTGATGTAAACTGACCCACATAAAAAACCTAATATCCATAGCTTAGTCTTCAGTGAAACGAAAAATTAACGAATCCATACTGAATTCTCTATTCATTTCAGGTGATTACTTCCATAGTCGTAGTGGGAAATAAGGCAAAAGAACATAACCCTTTGGTTTCCATATCGTGCAGCAGGTTGTACAAGTTTGTTTCACTCTGCTCCATTCTCCCCTCGGAATGGTTTATACTAAGTTCATATGAATTTTCCCAGAATATAAAATTCTCGCTCTTTATCTTGCATTCAATTATTTCTCAATAAAAAATTGTGAGATTCCTCAAAATGTAACATTATGCTCTTATTTCACCACGAAAAAGTATCAAAAATAATCCAATATTATAGTATATTTCAATAGGATTGTGGGAAAGTGGTTTTTGGCACCGAGTTTCCTTTTGAGTATCGAAGCTCATTTTTTATCACAATGCAGTGGAAGTAGGGTTCTAATGATGCGCACACGGAGCGAGGGCATCATTGTTAAAAATGTTTAACAAATGAATTATTGCATTTCTTAATATGAACATTCACTTACAACTCGTTATTTCTTCCGATTCCATCTTATAGTAAAAATGTTCCTGACAATATGGGAATTCATAAATCAGTTACCAGTTCTAGGCCTGAAATTTATGAAATCGGATGAAGAATGACATCAACTGGTAAAAACTTTAACTGTATAACAATATTACAATCCTAAAATTCAAAATATTATAGTAAAAATTCGAATTTTCTCTCCCATCCACCGTCACTTGTTACACTGAAGAACTCCCGTAGAAAGGAAATGCTCGTTAAGAGATTATTTAAGAAAAATGGTTAAACACCGTCGTTTTCTTCCATGATTTTTGTTATCCATTTCACGTAGTTGGATAGTCGAGCGTAGATACCGTATTTTCCGCGTTTCCCACAACCCTCTCCGAAACTTGTAATGCCGAAAATAGTCCAGGCATGATCCGGGCGTTTAGGGTCTCTACAGAGAAGTGGACCACCACTGTCTCCTGCACAAGAATCCATTCTTCCTTTTTGATAACCAGCGCAGAACATATTCTCTGTTATTTGATAATCTACGTACACACTCTTGCACATTTTCGTTGATACTATAGGTATCTGAAAAAACGTGTTTTTTTTGTTAAATATTATAGTGCACTTTATACGGGATGGTCTGATTGACTTTTCTATCTCATCTGCCATCCAAGATTATTTTCAACAATTCTGTAATTGAGTAGGGGAAATTCTTGATATCTCTATTTATAAACAAAGATGCTGGGATTCTGATTGGATGGCAAATCTTTCGCTTGACCCCACCTTCCTCTAGAATAATTAGAAATGGGATTTTTTATACCACTATGCTGGTATTTTCTATACCAGCTATCTCAGGAACCGTGGGAGAAGCAAACTGTTATAATGATAACCCGGAACCCAGTGGAAGGTTGAAGGAAGCACAAGTATTCAGCTGAAGGATTCAGAAAACGCAAGAAACAGAGTTGAAGTATTTTTAACGTGAACACAATTTTACCTACAAATTGGGTTACATATTAGGGATAATTCATAAATAGGTTTTTGGATAGCGAACATGGTCTATTGGAATTGTATAAAATTGGAAGATATTCTCGGATTTACTATTAAAAATTCGAGAAGATTCTTGAGTTTTGTAAGAAATTCAGAGAATCATCGAGTATTATAGGAGCGAATCCGCCAATTCTCTAAACGAAAAATTGACTTACAATTTTAAACGTTTTTCTCAGTTTGCTATCGGAAATTATAGTCCAAAAGGAAAAAAATTACCGTGAATGAAACTCTCTAACTGAATTATTGGCGGATATATTGAAGATTTGATTTTTATCCGTGATTAAACTTTCTGAAAAAAAATTGAAAAATCTTTTAAAAATTTTGGGGCAATTTTTCTCAAATAGAATTGGCAGCTTCGCTCGTAGAAAAGATTCATTTTTGATCGCCTGGGGAATTTGCAAACAATACCTTAAATATGTCCTTTATCAAGGTACAAAGATACTACGCTCAAATTTTGTAGACAGATTAACAAATGAAACAAGGGAATGCAAAGGAAGCTGTGTTCATTTTCAATGCCAATGTAGCAAGAGAAGGAAAGAAGGGCTTCGGAGATTAGATGCTAGAAGAATCTCTAACGTGGACAATTTTGATCAAAAATAAAGGAACGGTGACTCAGTTCCACAACTCCTGGATTCAACTATGAATAATAGAATTACCCATTTGTTTCATTTCAATCAATCTTTGAAACTGCTCTTCGGACTAATTTTAACTCTAGTAAGTAAAATAATGTTGAAGGACTGTTTTCATTTGCTGTGAGTGTCGATTCGCCACTTTCGTCTTCAAGTGCATAAGTATCATCAAATATACATCTTTAGAATTAAATATTGTTTGTCATAATTCTTCTCTTCATCAAGATTCAACGAGTGCTCTTCATATTCATTCCTTGCAACTTACCTTGGCTTCATGCAAAACATCAGTTCCAAAATCATCAGTGGCTTTGGACTTTCCCCATCCGATAATCATACAAAGTTTATTTGTGGGTAGCGGCTGTCGTGGAGCTGGTAGACAAGCAACTCCTCGTGATGCTGATGGGCTTAGAGTTACCGGAAGTCTGAGAAGTGCCACATCGTTGTCGACAGTGTCGGCATCGTATTCCGGATGAATTACGACCGAGTCCACCCGGAATTCAAGCTCTGTTCCTTCTTTAACAGCGAGGTCGTGCTCGCCGAGGCGAACGTATAGGCGTTTCCTAATGCAGTGCGCTGCGGTTAGGACCCAACAAGGAGATACCAACGTACCACCACAAAAAGCTTCCTGGGTGAAGAAAAAATGAATGAAGTCATTAAAACATAAAATCGAGTCAATATCTGAATTATTTCGAAAGTGTGCATCCTCGAATTTTGAATCGGTGACGTATTGGGATTGACCAATACGTCGATTTAGTAAATAATTATTGTTAGAGTCAAAATAATGGTGGGTGGTAGAATCGAGAAATATAATTTCTCCTTCCTGTCATCCGAACATTGGTCAGCAGTCCCACGGTGTCATTGAGACGTCGTAGTAAGTAGTCCCACGGTTTATTAGAGTCCAGCGCTGATTGATGAAATGTTTGACTGCTTTAGAATGTGTCAATGATGATACGAGAGTGAAGAAAACCGTTAGATTGCTGAGCTTAGCAACCTGTGGCTATGACGAGTTTCGGAAACTATGGAAGCGGCACAGTACGATCAGGAGCAGAATACACCGGATTTCTGTGCTCGAGA